GCTGCCTGGCAGTGTGGGTGGTGCAGGACTCCAAGGTCCAGCACTGGAGAGGCTCATCCCATGGTCCAGCACCTGAGATGCTCACCCCATGGTGACCTAGAAGGTCATGGCTGCCCAAAGCTGGGGGGAATGCGGGGAGTGGGGATATCCTCGCATAGCCCCGAGCCAGCTTATGTTTATCTCTGGGCCCCCAGCCCAAAAGCAGCCCTAGAAGCTTCTCTTCCTGCTTCTGGGAATTCCCAGAGTTCCCAGTCTTCTTGCTGCTTTTCGAACCCAGTGCTCTTTCCTAGCACAGACTGGCACAATATACAAATAAGCTTAGGTGCAGGCAAATATCAGAGGCCCTTGAGATTGCCAGGTGGGGACTATACCTCCCCCAGGGCCTGCATCAGTCTTTCTAGAAGACCTTCAGTTAAGCTACTTTCTATGTGAGTGACTTTCCCTAGCCTCAGCCATCAGATTGGCAAGCACTCTGAGAACATCTACCTGCAGGGTCAAGGCTAAGCTTCAGGGTGGGGAAAACAGAACTGAGGCAGTCCTGGGCTCCATCTCTGCTTTAACACTTACTGGCTATGTGACCCCCCACAGGTGACCTCCCCCAGCTTCCATTTACTCAGGTCTGGAAAGGGAATGCCCACCTCTCCTGAGGGGTAGAGGTGAGCCAGGGTGAGGAATAGTCCCTGGTTGGGGTCAGCCCCCTTCTGTTAGAGAATAAGGTAAGCCTAGCATCCCTCACTGCCACTCAGTGTGGGCACTGCCCTACTTCAGTCCCAGTTGCCAGGGAACCACTGGGTCCCTTGCTAACCTGGATTTCTCTATTGATGTTGCCTTTGTGTGCCTGCCTGGTGTGGCCACTGCAGAGGGAGGCCTGTGTCCAGCTGTGTTTCCTGGTAACCCTCTCCTCTGGAGCTGTGGGAGGTGCACAGGCTGGGAAGCAGCCTTCTCACCTGCCCTGCTCTGCCCCAGGTGGGCCCTGATCCCACATCCCTCTCCCTCAGTGCTCTCACTTGGCTGGCAGCCTAGCTTACCAGCCTGCTGAGAGGCAAATCACTCAGTGCTTCCCTTCCTGTGCTCAGCTTTTCAGGGTTCCCATAGGCCCTGGGAAAGTGTAGGCTCAGCTTGTAGCCTAGATGCATGACCAGAACTCTTCCCACCCACCTACTCAGACTCCTACAACCTCCCACCAGAGTGGCCCACTGGGCATCTCCTGTGTGCCTGGCTCTGTGCTAGCCACTGAACATGAATATGAAAGCACCTGTATTTCACACATACTGTTCAAGTGCACCCTTCCCTTTCTATCATTTACACATGGACAGACTGAGGTCTGGTTAAGCCTAGTGCTTGCTTATTGAGAGCTTGCTCCATGCCAGTCCTGTGCTGAGAGCTAAATGTGAATTCTCATTTCACCCCCACGTGAGCCCTATTCATGGGGCTCCACAGCTAGGGAAGAGCAGAGCAGGTTTGTGCTCAGTGATGTCCCTGAGCTAGTGGAGGGATTCAGAGCCAAGTTCAGACCCGTCCTGCCCCTGGGCTCCTTCACCAGCAGCCCAGGTGACCCTCCTCTGGCATGGCTGGGTGATCTACTGAGGACACCTCTTCTGCCCCTCATCCCCAAAGCAGCACATACTTACCCAGCATGGTGCTGGGCATGGAGGACAGTAGCTGTGGTAAGGCAGGTGCTGGGCAAACTGTGCCAATGCTGAGAGGGGGTGGTGGTTGGGGGAGGCTTCCAGGAGGAAGTGACTTTGAGCTGTGCTCTGGAGGAAGAGTAGGTGTTAGCCAAGTGGTAGGAGGGGTTTCTGGGCAGAGGAAACAACAGGTAATGCATGTGTTTGTGGCTCGGAAAGAAGCTTCCAGTGACTGGCGGATGTGTGTGTGCTTGTGTAGGGATTGGCAGGGGCACGTCAAGACGCCATTTGATGGTGAGGGGAGCTGACTCTGGACACAGCCACATCTGTCAGGACACCAAGGCTGGCGGTGGGTTTGACCTAGAGGGCAGAAAGGTGCACTCCGGGAGCTCTCTGGGAGTGTACTGGAGGGGAGGGCCTAGCTCTGGGGGCTTTGACTGGGGCTTTGGTTCTAGGAAAGAGGAAGCTGCTAAGCTCTGGGTGTGTGACATAGGTTCCTCTTTCTGTGAGGCCTCCAGAGCTGCTGCTCCTGATGGCAGCTTCCACTGCAGCTTAGAGCCCCTTATGGCTTCGCTAGTTGGCTTTTACCCAGGGAATTTCTGGTTCTAATTGGATACTTTTCTAGAGGAATGGGTCTAAGAAAGCCTTCCCTGACCCCCTAGAGCCCATCTGATAGAGGCCTCCAGCACTGCGCTGGTGCTGTTCTTTGTGGTGACTAAGGCAGACATCCCTGCCTGGACTGCTGTCTGGTTGGGGGGCAAGCTGTAAACAAGCAAGCTAACAATTGCTTAATTACCAGCCAGCATGGCGTGGGGAGGAAATCCCATGACCCACTTTAGGGTCTGGGATTGACTGGCTCTTACAGGCTTTTGCCACAGGAGATAAACCTCCCATCCTGCAGATGAGGAAACTGAGCTTCTGAGAAACAGGGGGCTGAAGTGGGGGAAATTAGTGGCAATGGGAACACCCAGGGCTAGGAGACTTGGAGGAGTGGCCTTTGAGCTAACTTCCTTCTCTGCTGGAACTCTCCCTCCTCAACCCAGTATGGCTAGGGTGCAGGGCTTTGGGGCCATTACCCTTCACTGCTGGAATGCATTTTCCCCATTCCTGGCAGCTGTCCTCCAGATAGCCTTCAGGAGGTGCTGGGTTTGGGACATCACTGACTGCCTGGCCTTCTAGACAAGACCAGAGGCATGGGAGGGGCCTCCACACATCCCTCCTAGTCCAGGGCTTCCCTCTGGACTTGCTCTCCCATGGGGTTCCTGCAGCAGTGGCTGGGATGCTAGAGGCCTAAAGGTCAGGGGTCTGAGCAGCATATGTGCACACATGTGCGGTTCATATGCCTGAGCAAGCAGGTTGAGGGGGTTCAGTCTGCCTGGGAGGGGGGTCTTGCAGCCAGACTGGAGTAAGTACTGGTTTGCAGTAATTAGAAGGTGTGTAATTAGAATGCTCGGGGCGCTGGGCGGCGGATGTCTGTGGATGTGCCTGAGTGGGCCCACTCTGGCTTTGAAGCTGGCCTTCTGGACCCACTCTTTCTTCCAGGAAGTCTCCAGATCTCTCAACTTCTGGCCTGTCTGCAGATGAGCAGCTGCACTGCCCCTCCTTGTGGCTCAGGTCACCAGCAGGTGCCACCAGGGTCTGGGTGGTCCTGGGGCTCTCTGGGGTTTCACCTCCTGCCTGAGTCCTTTGGGCCCATCTGGGGACAGGAAGAGCTGCTGGGGCTGGGAGTAAGCTGTGGGGACAACCTGAAGACTTGGGGTTTGTGGTCAGGTCTGTGGGTTAGAGCCTTTGAAGGACTGTGGAGGGGCCATGGGAGATAGGCTTGAGGGGCACTGGGGCTGTGAGGGGGAAGGGACATTGGAGCAGAACCTGGAAGGCAGACTTGTGACCCAGTTTGAGGAGACACAGGTCAAGGGATGAGTCAGGAGTGCCATCTGTTGAGTGTTGAATGCCACATGTGGCCTTTACTTATTCTGGCCTGGCCTTCCCTGTCCCTGGTTTTCCCCTTAGCTGGCCTGGAGCCCAAGAGGGGCCTACTGCCAGTGACCTGGAGAGTCCCTGGATGATGTGACAGCTGCCCCTCCCCCTCCTCTGGGTGTAATCAAACCCCTGGCCCTGCTGAGGTCTGTGTGGGGCCAGGCCCAGGTCAGGCGGACAGATCAGTTTCTCTGCTCCAGTGTCTCCAGGCCAGAAGCCTGCAGAGAAAGGGGCTCTCTGTGACCTGGAGCCTCCTGCAGGTGCAGCAAGTCTTCTGCCGGCCTTGGCATCCAACAGCCTGTGGCCCCTCAGCATGCGAGAGGCTGTACTCTCTGAGGCCAGTGAACACCTTGGGCTTCACTCATGCCTTGTCACAGGGTCTAATGAGCACCATTCTGTCAGCCTCATGACCCTGGAGCCAGGCCTCTGGGAAATATACATGAACTTCTTAGTCTCACCACAGCCTTCTTGTCTAATCTGAGTCCTGCGGTTCCAGCCTTGTTCTCCAGAGGTAGTGCTGTCGGGGCCTGAGAGTGCAGCTTTGGACCGTGGGCTGCGGAGCTGCCATTGGTGTTTCTCTGAAGCATCACACATTGTACCCTCATCCTATTTAATTTTGTTTCTTGGTGCTTTTTTACCAACTTAAAGTGGGACTGTTGTCTCTTAATCTGTTAGCGGATGGTGTCCCCTAAGATGGAGCTCCCTGAGGACAGGGCCCTTCTTTGTCTTGGTCACTCCTAGTTCACACAATAGGTGTGAGGAGACTGAATGCAAGCTGTGTTGACCCCTTCCCAGGTCTGCCATGGCACACGGACAGAGATGCTAGCATATACGTCCCAGCCCTCCCTGGGGGATGTGTAGAAGAACAGCCTGTGATAGAGTAAGCAGGGGATGTGTGAACCATCTAGTAATACTTCTACATACATTATATCTTCTAGTAATACTTCTAGAAAGAGGCCTTTGAGTTGACTTTGAAGGGTTAGGACAAGGGCCCTCTTTGGAGCAGAACCAGCAAGCATCAGGGCAGAATGTGAGAGTGGCAGGCCTGTGAAGCCTGAGAGGTTTGGGAGTAAGAGCAGGGGGCTGGGAGCAGTGCAGCCATCTTAGTCCCCAGCTTCCTTCCTCCCTGTCCCCTGCAGTGCCTCAGGGCACCTGGAAGGGAAAGGAAACACTTCCTCCTCTGGGAAGAGCCCCCAGTCTACAGAACCCGCCTGCTGTCCTTCTTGGTCAGGCCTGGGATGCTGGCCCCAAACAGGTCAGCGCCACTTCTGTTGTGTGGGGCAGGCACTTACTCAGCACCCAGCAGCATCCTGTCATCCTGAATGTGGCCTGGGGGTTAGGGGAGACAGCCGCCTGACCTGGCAGCCCCCTGAGCCTCCCCTTCATCTGCCCTAGGTGGGTGTCATTCCACAGCCTGATGATGAAGCGGAGCCTACTGTGCTGGCCCCTGTCCTGCTTCCTTGTGGTGAGTTGGAGAGGTGCCTGGGAAAAGCCAGAGTGGCTGGAGCCTGACCATGTGCCCCTACACTCCAGAGAGGAGGGTGTAGACACTGCTCAAGAGCCCAGACTCCAGCAAACTTTGGTACTCAGCTCTTCCTGGAAAGAATCTGAGGCTCTCAGACCCTTCAAGGCATCTACTGACCCACACTGGCATGAGGTGGTGACCCATAAGGACAGCCACAGCCTCTTCTATCATGACACCCAAGCCAGGGGGACACAGCTTTCCTAAGCAATGCCCACTCAAGCTGGAGGGACTTCTTGGCATTTGCAGGCATGACTGAGGACAAGGCGCCTGCCTCAGGCAGGTGTGGGCAGATCCCAGTGGGGAGGGTGGGTGGGGACCTAGAGGAAATTGGAGTACCTTGAATGCTGGATATAAGGTCTCTGTTGGTCTAAGGAACTCCAGATTCCAGGGCTGTAATCAGAGTCTTGGAGCTTCAGGCAGCATCTTGGACTTGGTTTAGATGGTCTTTCTGCTGTCTTAGGTACTGGGAGCCAGATCTAGGGCATGAGGAGATCTGCAGAACTGCCCTGTGACATTCTGCCTCTAGGGCAGCTGGCTCTGCTCCATACCTAGTGCCCCCTAACCCTACCAGCTTGGACCAAATCGGAAGACAGGGTCTCCCCGCAGCAGGGGTCAGGGCAGGCAGTCCATATCTGGGGTTGGGAAGCAGAGAGAGGTTCCCACAGAAGGGCCTAGCTACCCACATGTAGAAGACCCTTCAGAACTTGGCATGCCCTATCCAGGTCTAGGGGTGTGAATGGGGTGGCCTTGGTGCAGAGGGAGGTCACAGAGGAGGATGCGGTCTCAGACTCAGACCAGGGCCCAGAATAGCAAGTAAGCGCCAGCTACAGACTTGGCTCTAGGCATGATAAACAGAAGCTAGTTAATGACATGCCCAGCTGGAGGGGGGACAGGAAGAGGGACAATCTGAGAGGAATTCGGAAGCATTTCCTCCTCATCTGTCTAGAGTAAGGAGTGTCTCATTGGAAGGGACATAACTCAGAGGCTCAAGGGCTTGCGATCCTGTTCCTGTCTGGGCCTTTCCAGTACTTTCCAGAAGCAAATAGAATTCTCTCCCTACCTAGACACTGGCAGTACAGCAGAACTGGGACAGGACAGGCTCTCCTTCCAGTGTGAGCTAGAAGTGTCCCTGAAGCCCAGGAGGGGTTGCCCAGTGTGGTCAGCAATCCTGACTTCAGGGCTCAGGAAGTGGGTAGTGGGAGGTGATCCCACAGACCCCATGCCTAACACTTTCCTCCTCTTCTACCATGTTCCCTGTGCTCCTACCTGCCATTCTTCCAGCTGCTGTCCTGGCCTCTGGCCACTTCAACATCAGTAACTCCTTGGCTGTGTCCACCTGGTGAGGAGCCTGACCCGGTAAGCAGTGTGCTGTTCTGTCCTGGACTGGGAAAGACTCCTCTAAGGGCAGTGGGCAGGCGCTGGCTTGGCTGCCCAGGGGCATTAGACCTGGCCTTTGGCTTGATTTCAGCCTTTCTCTCCCTTAGGACCCAAGGCAGGGCACCTTATGCAGGTCCTGCTCTCCAGGCACCTTCTCAGCCTCATGGGGCACCCACCCATGCCAACCTCATGACAGTTGTAGACTTCGAGGGAGGTTAGAGACCCAGACTGGCACAGCAACTCAAGATACAGTCTGTGGAGACTGCCAGCCTGGGTGAGCACAGAGTGGGTGTGGGTGTGCGTGCTGGGAGACCAGGACTGTGCTTCTGGGTTCTAGCCCTATTCTTCCCTGAGGGCCTGCCTTCCATCTGTGGATGGGTTGGGGGCAGCTAGTAGGAAGGAATGCAGTTTTTTCCAAGGACAAGTTTTTGGAGAAACTTCTGGACCTTAGTGACATCTTCCCTTCCTGCAGGTGGTTTGGGCCATTGGGGCTTCCTCATGTTCCATGTCAGCCATGTGCTGGGGCACCTGCAAGTACTGGTGGCTGTGATGGTGAGTGGCAGGTGGGGACTAGGACTGGTGGGAGGGGGAAGGGGGCCAATGAGCTCAAGCCCAGGGGTCCCCTCAGCATCCATGTGGGAGCATTGGGGTTTTCCAGCCCACAGGAGGGTGGGCAACTGGAGGGTTTTCAGCTACCACCTTGCTTCTGAGTGGTAGAGACCACCCAGTAGCTGGCACCCATCAAAAGATTGGAGTTCATATCCTCTTCAGTCCCCTTGTCCCCATCCTCTCCTCGAGAGCCCTATACATGTGAGAGTGTACACATGGGCCTTTTCACACACTCAGGAACTCTTAATACTGAGCCAGTCACCTTCTGAAGCTACTAATTCAGATGCTGTTGTGGGAAAGCAGACCCAGGAGTGTGCCATGTGTGTCTATCTGGTCACTCCAGGCCTAGCATGAGAAGCAGATGTGGGCTGAGGAGCTGAAGCCCAGGAAGCCTCATTTCAGGGTAACTGCAGATGACCAAGGAAAGGAAGGATGAGCTGGCTTTTGCTTGGCCACTGTGGTAGGGTGGGCTGTTTTCTCCCCTGCTTCCTACTCAGGCCCTTGGCCTTGCTGCCACTCCTGTTCTCAGCCCTCACCCGACCCGACCCGACCCAGGCTGAGGCACATCACCCACCATCTACTGTGAAGTAGGCAGACACAGCAGCCCGGGGAAGGCCTTCCTATGCTAGCCCAGTGACTTCTTTGTTTCTGTTTCTCTCAGATTGGGGGCGGCGGGCCCGGCGTGGTGTGGAGGTGGCTGCAGGGGCCAGTAGCAGTGGTGAGCCTCGGCAGCCTGGGAACAGCACGCGGGCAGGTGGCCCCGAGGAGAGAGCTGCCCAGTATGCGGTGATTGCCATCGTGCCTGTCTTTTGTCTCATGGGGCTGCTGGGCATCCTGGTGTGTAACATGCTCAAGCGGAAGGGCTACCATTGCACAGCCCACAAGGAGGTTGGACCCAGCCCTGGAGGAGATAGCGGTAAGGCCTGGCCTTACCAGATGGGAGGCTGGGGGCTCTAGAGGGAATCATCCTGGCCAAGGAGTTTGATAGGGGAGGCCTGCAACGGGCTAACCAGGAGGGCCTCTTGAAGGTGCCCTGTGGCAGCCTTAATGACAACTGCCAGACTGAGAGCGGGAAGATGGTGAGGGGCCAAGCTATTGTTGGCAGAAGACAGTTAGCTGGTCAAATGGTATGGATGGAGTTCCTACCCTGGGTGAAACCCTGCTCCACTGTAGGGGTTCTGGACTCTGTAGGGGCTGCAGGCTACAATTGTATGTTTCAAAGTGACCTCTGACCTCTGGCCTGAAGCAGGAGAATGCCCTTCATTAGGAGGGCTGATGGGGCCACTATTCTGGGCAAGCACCATGCAAGGCTCAGCTTTTAGCTCCAGGCTGTGGTTTGAGCTTTGAGTCTTGGAATCTGAAGGAGAGGGCTCTGGGCTCATTAATTACTGATCAGCACCCCCTGAAAGGCAGAGCTCTCCTGGGCCAAGCCAGGAGTGACACAGCATCACCCATGCTGGTTTCTCAGAACTCCTTCCACCTCCCAACACTGAATTCTAGAGTGAGCAGGAAGGTGGCAGCTCCTGGGACTGCACTTGTTTTTCTAGCCTAATGGCTTTAACTGCTGGCTACTGCTTGGGTACAAAACTTGGGAACTGTGCTGTTGGGCTCCGGACCCATCACAACAGCCCATTATCAGACCTATGAGATTTGAGCCCAAAGCTGTTAAATAGTTCCATGGGTAGGGTGGTGGCAGAGTTTACTGGAGGCGTTGGGAGTTCTGGGCAGAGTTCACAGCTCCCCAAGGCCGAGGCGGGCCCTGTGCCCACCTAGAAGAGGCTGGAGCAGTCTTCAGGGACTGGGGTTTCAGGTAGTCCTGAGACCTCGAGTTGCTGGTGCCAGGTGGTGACTGTGCTTTTTGAGTCTAGATAGTCCGCACACTGGTATGTTCTGCAGTATGTTCTGTAACTCTGAGCAAGGCTCGTGGTGCCCTCTGCTGGCAGATCCTGGTGTAGCTTGGGAGCCCCCATGTCTCTAGCACCCCTAGAATCATGGATTCCTTTTCTTTGTCCCAGGGATCAACCCTGCCTACAGGATGGAGGATGCCAATGAGGACACCATTGGGGTCCTGGTGCGCCTGATCACAGAGAAGAAAGGTGAAGAGAGGGTCTGTCTGCTCCACCCGTACCTGGGAGTGTGTGGGAGGGCCTCCTCTCAGCACCTCAGAGTTTGCTGCTTAGGGCCACAATTCCTCCTGCCTCCTAACCAAAAGCCTGAGCTTGGCTGCTCTGACCCTGGTGCTGCCCCTTTGCCTCTAGTCCTGATTGGTGAGGACTGGAGCCCACAGTCCAGGCTGGGGACAGGGACGGGATGGGGTAATCAGGGGCTGTCTGCTGAGGTGGGGGCTTCATCAGTTTGGAGCTGGGTTCTGACTGCTCCTGCCCACAGAGAACGCAGCGGCCCTGGAGGAGCTGCTGAAAGAATACCACAGCAAACAGCTGGTGCAGACAAGCCACAGGCCTGTGCCCAGGTGAGGGCGGGGCCCTCAGATAATCAGCCCGCCTTCTAGGCCTCCCCACTTGGGTCCATTCCCTCTATGTATCCTTCTACCTGCTGGAGTCTTCTGCCCTGGCAACCATTCCCACTTGTGTCCTCCTGCAGGCTACCACCAGCCTCCCCCAGCATGCTGTACACCTGCCCGCATCGCCACCACCTCCATACCGTGCAGGGGCTGGCCTCGCTCTCTGGCCCCTGCTGCTCCCGTTGTAGCCAGAAGAAGTGGCCAGAGGTACTGCTGTCCCCTGAGGCCGCAGCTGCCACCACTCCTGCTCCCAGCCTCCTGCCCAACCCAGCCAGGGCTCCCAAGCCAGGGGCCAAGGCAGGTCGTCAGAGCGAGATCACTATCTTGTCTGTGGGCAGGTAAGAAGGGAACAGACACCATGGGGTCAGGGAGTGACTTGGCAGTGTGGGTATAGGCAGGGCTCTGCATCAGCTTAGAGCTGTTTCCTGGGCCTCTCTGGGCAGTATTGGCGGCCAAAAAAGGCATCATTTCCCAGCTATTCTGCCTCACATGGAGCTCTTGGGTCCCAGGGCATGGTCTCAGCCTTACCATACCTGGGACTTCTCAGGTCAAGATCTGTCCACCTGTGACTTAGATGTGGGGCTGCTGGGGGCTGGACACAAACCACCTTGTCTGGGGGTGGGGGCTGGAAAGGGTTCATACACGGTGTCAACAAGCTCAGTCTCTGGTCCTAGAACTTGGAGTGTGACCTGGTAGATGCTGCTCTCTGTCCCAGGGTCCCCCTCTGATGGGATGGTGACACCACCTCTCTCCACAGGTTTCGTGTAGCTCGCATTCCTGAGCAGCGGACCAGTTCTGTGATATCTGAGGTGAAGACCATCACGGAGGCTGGGCCTTCAGGGGGTGATCTCCCTGACTCTCCACAGCCTGGCCTCCCCACTGAGCAGCAAGCACTTCTGGGAAGTGGTGGAAGCCATACTAAGTGGTTGAAGCCCCCAGCAGAGAACAAGGCCGAGGTGAAGGGCTGGGGAGATGCTTTCTGTTAGCACCTGGGCTAACCCTGACAGAGAACAGACCAGGAGTGGCAGTGCCAGGGTCCTGGGCAGATGCCACTTTCCTGGAGCCCAAGATGTCATCTTGACTGAGCTCTGACCCCTCAATCTTGCCCCCGCCCAGGAGAACCGTTATGTGGTTCGGCTAAGTGAGAGCAACCTGGTCATCTGACCGGCTGTGTAGTATGAGACACTCCGCCCTGCCCTGCGAGGTTCCGAAGGCTTCCTGCAGGAGGGAGAGCTGCAGCTGCGACTGAGGACCAAGATGCAAAGGCCCAGCAGACAAGACAAGGGCCAAGGCCTGGAGGTGGGACCGTCCGCCCCATCAAGGAGGCAGGCAGCCGGCCGGCACCATGCTCAGGAGATCGAGAGCCCTGCCCTGTCCCTGCAGCCCTAGTTACCTCCATGCAGGGTACCCCAACCCTGTGCCTGGCCTGGACACCTCATAGGAGCCCACAGGGTCCTCTGTCCCCTAGGGGTCTGGGTTTGGTGGAGGGGTAGTACTTGTACTTGTCCCTAGCCTGTGCCTTGGGAGCTTGCCGCTCTTGTTCCCATCCTGGACCCTTCTGGCAGGTTCTATAAAGGGAAGGGGTAGTAAAGAGCCCTGCACTGGGGACAGAGCACCTAGGTTCTAATCTTGGGTTCATCCCTGGGTCCCAGCTTTTCTGACTGTGAAGTGGGGAGAGGACAGGTCAGTACCCAGGTCCTCTCCAGCTCTTTGCAGGTTCTGGGCCGGGTCCTGTTGGGGAGAGTTTGACTCTGCCATCCTCCCATCATTAGTAGCTTTATCTGGCCCGTTTTTGCTGCTTCCTGGGTCTTGGCCCTAAAGGTTCCCATGGGGTTGTCCATCATGGCACTGCCTACAGAAGGGGCTCTTAATGCATGTGCCTGCCCCCACCCTGCTGTTTTTAATGAAGCTGAAGAATGACTTGACTTGGACAGGGCTGTGGTGAAGAGCCCAATCTACCCTGCTGCCTTTGAGCTCTGGAGCTGCAGGGAGAGGACTGCCAGCAGGCTGGAGAATCCCTCTGGTCTTAGGGGTTTCCTTGTCGTGTGGCGCAGTGTCTGCCCAAGCTCTGGGTAGCACAGGTGACTGCCGGCCCAGCTCAGCCATCTCCACGCTAGTTCAGTGCCTGGTTATTTATGTGGGGCCGTGCAGGCACAGGCCCACTGCCCATCCCATTTCGTATTTATTAAAATCTGCTGTTGTCCTGTCCTTACATCTCCAGCCCTAAAACACTTAATAAAAGGTGGAAAGTGGTGTCGTAAGGAGCCTCCTTTCCTTGTTCCTTCCCTGGAACTCTCGTCCATCACACATATCCAGGGCCTGGCTGCTGCCCAGTGTGCCACACAGGGTGTCCCTCCCCTCATCAGTGGGCTCTTCAGCCTGGAAATCAGGCAGAGGTGGCCTCCATCCCATTCTCACCTGGATCCAGGGAGGCAGGGCTTCCGCACAGAAATAGAATAAGTTTTTAAAAAGGTGAAGTGACCTGGTATGGTAACACATGCCTTTAATCCCCACACTCAGGAAGTAGAGGCAGCCAGACCTTTGTGAGTTCAAGGTCAGCCTGATCTACATAGTGAGTTCCAAGCCAGCTGTGGCTATAGGGAGACCCTGTCTCAAAAAAAAATAAAAAATAAAATAAATAAATAAATAAATAAGGTAAACTTACTATTAGTATTCTTAATTCAGTATATCCAAAATATTTTCACAATATAAAATCATGAAAATTATGAATGAGCTTTTGGGAGGGCAGTTAGAGTTGTGTTTTACACATCTGGGTGTGAACTAGTATATGTCAAGGGCTCAAGAGCCACATGGTGAGTGGCACAGCTCTAGAGGAAGCCATCAATCATATGGAACCTCGGAGAGTGTGGGAGGATGTGGTCCGTCCATGGAGAGGGAATAACATGTGCAAAGGCCAGATCAACACATGTGGAGACCTGGAGTAGGGGACTACCTGAGCCCTGTGCCAAGGGGCCTCCACAGTGGTAAGGAAGAGGCAGAGCCTCAGCCCTCTTGGCCAGTGTAGAGTGGAGGAACACCCACATGTGAGGAGGAGGAGGAGGAACAGATGGACCCACAAGATTCCTGGGGCAGACCTGGGGCTCCCTCAGGAGATGTGGGCCAAGGGATTAGCACCAGCTGGGTGGGGTAGCAAGCACAGCATCTGGGAACACTTAACAGCCCTAACAGATGTACTTAGTTATCTGGGTATGAAACCCTGGCACTCAGGAGCACTCAGGTGGGCATTTATGACACAACTGGGCAGGGAGGGACCTTGTTTCAGGGAGAAGTCCCAGGACAGAACCTAGGGCATGGCAGTAAGAAAGCCATCAGGGACTAGAGTCCTGGCAGCCAGGGGAGGGTGTGGAGGTGGGGGAAGGGTAGGCTGAGAGGCCAGGAAGACTGCCTTGTGCCTGCCCTAGGGTGTGGACAAGGACTTAGTAAGATCCAGGTGGATCAAGGGACACTAGCCCTTGCCAAAGCCACCATGGCTGGTGGGAACTTAGGTTCTAGAAGAATCTAAGTTGGGGCTTTGTTGGTGTGTGGTATACTCTTTAAATATGGGAGTGACACATGCACATAAGGCTGAAGGGCTAGAAACACCGTACCCGTAATGGAAAACACGGAGAGGTGTGAGGTCCAGCCTGCAGGAGGGGGGCACAGTGGCTGTGCTGGGCTTTAGGAAGCCTGGCTTCATGGAGAGGCCTTCTCCTGGGTAGAAACCTAGATGGGTGACTGGCCCAACAGTGGCAGAAAAAAAAAAAGCTCACCCTTGACACGATAGGCAGATATGTTTCAGGAGCCCACCTATCCCTGCTTCTCCCCAGGTACTGTGGGGACCATGAACAGGAAATGAATAGGGGCCCTCATACACCCAAGGAAAAGGCCCCTAAGGCTGCTCGGTGTGCCTAGCATCCCCTTGCCAGCTGTTCAGCTATACCTCAAGGTTTGGCTTCTCAAATTTGGCTGTCCCTTCAGCCTGCCAACTCATGCACCCTACTTTACTTAGGCTCTGGTTAACCGCCCACTTGGACTGTAAGGATAAGACAGTATCCTGGAGGGTGGGGCAGGAGGTGGGCCCCACCCACTCTCTGGAGAATCTAGATTGGGAGCACATTCCTGATACCATGTTAGAGACACCAGGCCAGGCCTCCAGTCTGGTCAAAGACATCCCTGTCACTGAGCCCTTCTCAGCCCCCCACTCCTGCTTGCTGAAAGGAATGGTGTTTCTTCATGGCTACTTTCCAAGAGCAGGAAAAGTGCTGCGATCACAGATGTGTGACATCCTTGGCCACACCTTCCCATGGACACTTTCCTGGCTTGTCTCCTATAAATCCTGCAGCCCTCTCAGTGGGTAGAGGTGGCAGCTATGGTGAGGGCTTGAATGAGCACCAGGGTCCAAGACTCTCTCCCTGCCCACTCCTGGCCAGCAGCCCTGCCACTGTGACCTGGAGATGAGCCTCAGAAGTCTGGTCCTGACCTGGAGAAGCTGACAACTGTAACCGGGCCAAAGGTGCCCTCTCCTCCCCTCCCGTCACCCTGGGTTCCACATTGGCTCAAGGACAGGATGGACAGCTGGGAGGCTGTCAGGGAGGCACAGAGTGAGGCTTGGTGGGAAGTGTCCCAATCTACAGTTCCTAATGCAGGGTGAGCCAAGGTACCTTACTGGCCTGGGAGGTGGGCTCTGCCTACCATACTGATGATTTGGCTCCTTCTTGTGGCATTGGGGATCGAATGCAGGGCCTCATGCAGACTAAGCAAGCATTCTGTAATTGAGCTACACCTTTGGCCTTTAGAAAGTCTTAAAAACAGTTCTTGAACTTTCTACATAGTGACAGATACCTCGTTTCATTCTTTGGGAATCATCACTTTTCCGGCCTGTTTTCCCTCGAGTTGTACAGCATGAGCTCTGGGCCTTGTGGCTGTGGAGAATAAACTGTCAGGGCCTGACCATCAGAAAGAAAAGTAACTGGGGGGCCAAGAACCATGGGCTGGATTAGGGCAGTGGCATTTCCCTGAGGGGACAGCAGAATCAGATGTGTAGGAGAAACAACAGACAGTCCTTGACTACTTGAATAATGCCATGCGTTCTTCAATTGTCTTGTAAAGCCACCAAGTCCTGCTTCATTTCCTACATGATAGCTTCCCACTGTTCTGAGGAAGCTGAACAAGGCCCCCGACCCTTCAAGAAACTACCCCATGAGATGCACAAAACATGGGCTGTGGTGTCTGGGTTCTGGCACCAGACCAAGTGTGAATTCCAACACACCCCCTTTTAGCTAAAGCCCTTCCAGATGGGACTAATGGCAGTGCTTCCCTTGTAGCAAGTATGTAGACACGCAGGCCAATAAACAGGAAACGAGCAGCCAGCATCAGCCACACAGGAAGCACTCAATAGGTGGCAGGGTTGTTGGTTTTGTTTATGGTCTTTTTGGTGCTGGGGATCTATTCCACACAAGTGCCCCATCACTACACCCCAGGCTCAATAAATGTCAGCTCTTAACAGCCTTCCAGGCTTCCGTTGCATGATCTGGCCCAGGTGTTGAAGCTGCCACTTCACAGGCTCTATTCACTGTGAAATGAGGCCCCGGAAGCCTGCGAGGAGGTGCAGCAGAGTTGATGGCTTGACTTTTTAATTTTATTCTTTTATGTGTGTTTTGCCTGCATGTAAGTGCACCCATGCAAATGCAATGCCCATAGAGGTCAGAAGAGAGGGGTCGGATCCCCTAAAACTGCAGAGTTTACGGGCAGTTAGTTGCCATATGGGTGCTGGGAACCGAACCCAGGTCCTCTGCAAGAGCAGCCAGTGCTCTTAACCGCTGCGCCATCTCTCCAGCCCCTGAGACAAGGTCTTAAAGTTGCAATCTTCCTGTTTCAGCCTGCAAAATGCTGAGATTACAGGTGTGTGGCCTCACAGCAAGTATTTTTTTTCCCCCCTCTGAACAGATTAACCACAACAAAGTTCTATATACAAAATGACCTAGACCTTGGTGACAAACACCTGTAATCCCAGACTCACGAGTCTGAAGCAGGAAGACCACAAACTTCAGGTTAGCCTGGTGTACAGTTCTAGGCAATGCTAGGTTGCAAAGCAAGATTGTCTCAAAAAGGTAAAATGACAAAAGCTCAAACAAAACTATTCTGATTCTAACTGATATCATGGTAGCCAGTTGTTATATAAATAGAAAAACTATGTAGACCAGGCTGGCCTGGAACTCAGGGAGATCCACCTGCCTCTGCCTCCTAAATGCTGGGATTAAAGGCATGTACCACCACACCACGCCTGGTGTGAGAGCAGGCACTTATTAGAAGTGCCTTGGGAGAAGGCTAGGGACTCATTGGCCCAAGGTGGTTTTCTGTGCCTCCCTCACCCAAGAACCACTTTTTTTTTTTTTTGGAAACTTTTTTTAATAGTTATTGAATGTTCTACAGCTTACAGTAAATATCATAGTTACAAATGCTTGGCTTTAACCTTTCAGAGTGATCACTATCTGATCTTCAAAACAAAACAAAACCCAAAGGAATCCAAAACAACAAAACCAGATTTACACTTCATACACACAAGCGGCCACAGGGCTTTCCAATCTTTACACTCCAGGCTGTGTTTTGAAAACACCTATAAATTATTTGATCAAACTACTTGGAAGACACCGGTCAAAGGTTTATTATTATTATAATTATTATTTTTAAATGTTTTTATTTGTTTTTAAAATGTGAGTTCCAATAAAATTTAAAAATTAGATTCCAACCTGTAGGTTAAAAGGAATTAAAAAATACAAAATCATACACAACGCTCTCTTCACAGGGACGTGCCATGCCATGAGAACAGGCTTCTCTGTCATGTGATATGAAAGGGACACAGATGCCTTGAAGACAGGAAGGGGGCAGGCCCTGGGCCTTCAGAGATCAAAGACAACTCCAAGGTGCTAGAGGCCTAGCCTGGCCTCCCCTGGGTAAGGAGAAGCTTGAGTCACAAAACAGATCCAGTTCATCTGGCTGACCTGAGGTCTCTGGGTCAGTCCTCCACTTCACTCATTGCAACTCTGAGGCTGGAGGAGGACTGCTGGAGAGCCTGGCAGATCATGCTTGGGGGTAGGGGGAGTGTCAAGTCCAAAGCTGATTTCACTCACATGATTCCTGTGGACTGGTGCTATCTTCAAAATCATTTTTATTTTATTGGTTCTCTTGAGAAGGAAAAATTCCCCCTTAGGCTGGAATGGATAAAGGGACTCACTGCCATAGTAAGGGTACCTAGGGACTACAGGTATAGCAGCCATAAAGGAAGCAAGTGCTGTTGTGACCCTCTCTGGCTCTGTGGCAGCCAAATTCAACTCCAGTTTTCCTTGGCTGGCTTCTGGGCTGGACTCAACAGGATGCATGACAGGAAATACCCACAGGAGAAACTGAGGGAGTGGGACCCAAGTGTGGCTCTGGCAAAGTTGGCCACGGAATGTTGAAGTTGGCCTACAGGGAATTTTGAAGGTTGAGTCCTGGAACCACATAATGCTGAATTTCAAAAGTGTTTTTCTAGGACAGGGGTAGGAAAAGGACAAGTCTTGCTGGCAGCCTGCCTGTCCTGCCTATAGAAGTTGGCGTATCCAAAGGCTCAGGCGTGGTCTGACCAGTGAGCCTGGCTGTTTCTCCCACTGACTGCTTCCCTTGGTCCACTCTACCCAGCCTTTCTCTAGATCCTCAAGGTTGACAAGATGCTGGGAGCCACATGCACAGCAGTGATGTGGTAACACAAGATGAAAAAGCCAATCTTGCACTGTGTTCACTCTGGTGAACATGTGTACATGGGATGACTGATCCAGTCAAATGCTGTGAAGAACACAGGGCCCACAGCAGGGCCTGCATCTTCTTGTCAAGGAATCTGATATGCAGAGCACTTCAGCCTGGCTCAGCCAGTACTTCACTTCGTGTCCTATCTGCACAAGGATGCCAATACGTGGTGACCAAGAGACCTGTCCCACTTTTTGCCTTACTTCTGAAGGCCATTCAGAACACAGCATCCAAGCCTTCTCAAGGAGCACCCCTAGATCTCAAATGTGGACATATGGTCAGAAGAAAGTGGGATGCACGAACCCTAGTTACTTGTTTCTTCAGGACCAGTGAATAAGCAAACCCGGGGACTCCAGTCGAGACATGCTTTTGGTAGTTCAAGGCTATGCCAAGTCCCCTTGGAGTGACAACTAGTTGGATATGGAGGGGTCAGAGAACCAGGGGTGTGTAGGGTTCCCAGAGGCATGAATCTCCTTGGAAAGATGCCTGGTGCTATCCCTTGAGCATCCTCAGTACTAGGCAATGTCACCTCGGTGTTTCATCTGAGTTGGGTCTTTTGCGGCATTTCTCATTCTGTGCTGCCGGCTGGATCTGCCTCTGCGTCCCCAGAGCCCATGACAGGTCTCAGCCCAAAGCAGAAATTCTCAAAACTCTGCTCAGCTGAGATCTGAGTTTTCCAAGTCTCCACAGTCTTTCTCTGCATAGGAGCAGGTTCCCGTTTCCCTTCTTCAAGTTTGCCACACACCAGCAGGAGGCAGCAGAAAGCAGGGGACTGGGAGAGGGTTCAAATCTTAGCTTTCACTCATGAGCTGTGTGTCCTTTGGCAAGTCTCTTAACCCTTCTGAGCATTAAGTATTTGGTTTTTTGTTTATTTGTTTTGCTTTGTTTTTTTCATCTATAAAGTGGAAGTTTTGGCAATCAGTTTCAAAGTACTTTACATACCATGAAAGGTCTGGACAGATGTATGTGTTCCTGCTGAATATTCAGATTCGGGGTGGTGGTGGGGTTATGCATTCCAGGGTCATTTCCAGGAGAATGAGTGCCCCATCTCATGGGAAGAAAACATTTTTTCTTTTCAAAAACATGAAAAAAGATTCTCAGGCTTCCACTAGCTGGGGGCAGTCCTGTTTCCACACTCAAACTTCCTAGCTCAGGGCTGAAGAGAATGGGCAGGTGGTAGTGGGGGAGGCTAGTGAATGGAGCCACCCCTCCCCGAGCCCTGCCACTGAAGTGCTGAGCTGAGGAGAAGGCAGGGGCGTGGGTAGGAGAGGGGTGTGGTGATGCCAGTATGGCAGGTCATGATGTCACACGTGCACATCCCTAAGGTGAAGGGACTCTTTCAGCTTTGTCCCCTGTTCATCTTGACCACTGGGCCATCCAGAATCTTCAGATGATATATCAAGTACCTCCACAGGGTGCCTGTAACCTTACTGGGAGCCACTGGTAACACACACTACCCTGCACTCTGGGACTCTGTCCCTTTGCCATGACTCCCAACTTGGCCAGACTTACAGAGCTCTGTCAAATAAGGGTGAGGCCAAAGAACTGGGGTTCTGGGCTCACGTCGACAAAAGGATACTGGAACTGGCTACTCTAGACTACAGCATTTTGACACTTGATTATCACCTTAGAGCCTTTCTTTAATCTTGAATAACATACTAAGTAAGGCTAAGAAAGGGTACAGAGCAAAGATACTTCCGAACATGAGCCTGTGGTGGGTCAGGCTGGGGAAAGTCAGCCTACAGGGGATTCAGGCAGCTCTGTCCCTTACTAACAAGTCCCTTTAACTTTTCTAAGCCTTGGTTCCCTTAAAAATTAAGTAGCAGAAGTGATCTTCATCTCTCAGGGTTAAGCCATGTGGACTGTGAGATACACATACTATATTTGCTTACTGATGTGAAAAGAACAAAAGTTTAAGACCATTCCCAGGTCTCCTTTTTCTCTCCCATCAGACTACCTGGAGGCTGCGGGGTATGGGAAGCCTACCAGGGTTCCAACATTTGGCTCACATTGGGCCATTTCCTTTCCTTCTAGAATCTGTTTCCTCATTTGTCGAGTGGGTAGAATAACTGGCCCTGTTCGCATGCTCTCTGGATCAGTAAATTAAAGACTGAAGTGCTTTGAGATCTACGAAGCATAAGACAAGTGCAAAGTTCCCTATAATTATTATTACCATTATTATTTTGGCATTTTTGAAACACATATAACATAATCTAGAACAACCTTCATCCACTTCTACAAAACCAAAGGTAGGAGGGAACTGCAAAAAGCAGATTAACACTGGAAAACTTTGTTTTAAAATGAAACCTTGTCAGCACCCCAGAACAGCTGTGTTTTCTCTTAATGGTCCTAAAGTTCCTAGAAGGCCAGGAAGGTGGGAGCCCTAACTCCTGGTTCTCAGTCATGGATGCTGACAGGTTCTGACCTCCTGGGAACAGCTAGACCATTTGCAAGGTCCATCCAGCCCAAGCGTTTCCATTTTTGCTTCTTTTAGGGGAAGATGAGAAACAGAAGGAAAGGGATGTCCAAGTTCATATGAATTTATAATGAAAACAGTTCAAGTCCCAAATGTTGCCAATGATCCCATTTTGTACAGTGAGGTGTTCTCAATCCACCTAGTGGAGCTACTGGCTCCACTAAGTGCTGGGCACAAAAGGGTGGTACTAGGCAATCCAGGCTCTTAGCTGAGATTAGCAGGGACCTCCCTGTCCCAGGGATCCCTCTTCTCCTAGATGTGCCATATCTGCTGGGCCTCATCCTTGTCTTCCTCTCTTGGTGGTTCCCTTTCTTCCTCTCTCTTGGGATAGGGGGTATTATCCAAAGAGTACAGCCCTCCTTTCCAGCCAGCCAGCACCTGCTCCTTTTCTTAGGGGTGGAGTCACATTCAAGATGAAAGTCCAGATGTCTTCACAGGATTTTGAATGCTATTTCTTCATGTGCAATTTCTGTTACCACCACTGGCCCCCATGTGGCCTCTGCCCAGTCTTCAACCTCCATCTTTGGAGTCCATGAGGGAATATAGAAATGAGCCCAGGGATCATTCCAGAACTCGCCAGATGTGGGCACTGCTGACTTAATTTTTACAAAACCAAACCAATCCATCCCTAGCTAAATTTTTGTAGACAAAATGCCACTAGGTAGGAAGGCTGCATTGAATGCTAATTTACTGTGAGGTCCAGGGAAGTCCTTTTTCCTTCTCTGGGCCTCAGATTCCTCATCTGTCAAATAGGGGAATGGATGAGATGATTGCTAAGGTCCCTTCAGTTCCATGAGTATGAAATGATTATTGCTATTGCTTTTCCTTCACTATCCTGACCTTCAGAACCGCCAGCTCACACCTGGAATGTGGTTCCTTCACTTTGGCCGTGAAATGGCACAAGGTAACCAAGAGCATGGCCTGTCTGCCAGCCCCACAAGACAGATGGGTGAGTCCTGGCACTGGGAAGGGCAGAAGGGCAAGGGAGAGAAATGCCACCAGTTCCCACTCTAATCAGGAGGAAGCTCCTCATCAGAGTGGGTCCCTGAGGCTCAGGCTGAGGTCTGGAATACACAGGCATCTGGCCTTCCAAAACCTCAGGACGCTGGGATCCCACCACCGTGCAACTACTACTTGGCAGGTCTGGGGTCAAAAATCATCTTTTGAGGAAGTGCCAGGTCAGTGAACACCACTGTGCAAATCAGAAGGTCCAGGCCCAGACAACATAGCCAGAAACCTTTCAAACCAAAGTTGAGGAGGGCCCTCTTGCCCCTTCTTTCTACTCCTTTCCCAAGTGCTCGCCCCCCTCCCCTCTTCCCCAAATCCTTTTGACTCTGGTTTCCCGTGTTCTCAGCCTGGGGATATGAAGCTGCTATTAATACTCTACATAACGAGGTGGTTTTGTTCTCGGGCTGTTGTGATGGTTCTCAGAAGACATTTCTTGGTGTCTAAACAAATCTTGCTTCAGAAAAAACAGAAAAGGGACAATCTCCCAGAGATGTGGTCTGCTCAACAGCTCCAAGTTCCAACCCCAGCCCTGAGAGCCACATCTGTTATGCTCTCCAAATGGAACTAAGCCTTCAGATGAACCATTGCAATAAACCTCATTCTCTGACTGGGATCCCAGGGACAGAATACGTGGGGAAGGAAAGAAGTGCAGAGGAGACTAGGCTGGTCAGGTAGGAAGGGAGGTTAGAGATGGAAGGGCAGTGGCTAAGAGGGGGCACAAGGGAGAGACTCCTAAGAGATTAGAAAAAAGCAGCTTTTACAAAAACCAAAAATCAAAATCAAAACCATTAAAGATGCATAAAGTGACCCTTGCACTTCCGTTGTCTCTTCTTGCAAATAGAGGTGGTGCTGCTAGGGAACTGCTCCAGCACCGGTGTAAGACTTGAGTAGTTGCATACAATGTGACTCCAGATCTGGGGGAGGAAGGGACACCATCAGAGTTATATTCCACAGGCCACTTTCGGAAGCCTCTGGGCCCCCCTCCCCTCAGCTTCAGAGCCCTAAGTGGAGCCCTTTATGCCTTCCCAGAGAGCAGCTTGCTCCTGTCTATAGGAATTGTGTTACAGCCCCAAGAAAAGCCCCTGGAGGAGGTGAAGGGAAAAGTACATGGCGCTGGCATAGAGTAGACGATTTCCAAGTGACATCCTTGGAGCTCTACAGTTCACTGGCACTGCCTCAAGGGCTGCTGAGGACAGTGAGGAAGTTGGGGGGTCAGGGTCTCTACTTGGCTACAATCAGACCTAAATAAGCCTCTAGTTAAAAGAGCACAGAATTCAACAGCAGAGGACAAGCATTAAAGTCCTAGCTCAGTTTTAATAGAGTTAGTGATTACAGCTACCTTGAGTATTATACAGGAAATTATAGCTATTATCAATAGTGATAGTAAAGAATTTGGAGCAGGAAAACAAGTGATAACTGTCATCTGCTTCTGTGACACTGATGTTCCACACTCAAGCCCGGGCTTTGAGGCAATTCCTCTAAGTGCCCACTCCCTTCCTCCCAACCCTGGCGCTACTTACTTGAATGGGCTGCAGGCTTTACCAGTGCGGGGGCACATAGCTGTATGCAGGGGTTCCTTGGGCCCTGTATGTAGGCATGGACACAGGGTGCGCCCCAATTGCAGTGTGCTGGGGTGTAGTCAGCAGGGTACCTGAGCATCCAGAGAGAAGAGGAAACCTGAGGAGATTGTACCAGGGTGCAGGGGTGAAGAGGAGGAAAGCAGGTTTTTGCATGGCTGCTCCTCCTGCCTAAATCCATCTCCCTGGACTATCTGATGAGCACTATCCTTCTCTGCCTTCAAAGGCCTCCCCTCCTCAGTGAGGGACCTTTATGGGTGCTGGAGGACAGAAGCAATCACTAGTCTTTGGGAACCTCCCTTTTCTTTGTATGCTTCTCTTATTGCAAAAAAGCACTGAGCAGTAATTGCCGCTTTAGTGGCTCTATCTCCCACACTTGGCTTGAAACTCCCTATGTAGACCAGGCTGGCCTTGAACTCACAGAGATCCGCCTGCCTCTGCCTCCTAAGTACTGGGATTAAAGGCATGCACCACCATGCCCAGCTTCTTTCAACTCTTAAAATTGATTATCTGAATGTGCTAGCTACTTGGAGGCCCACTGCCAACATCTCTTCCCTAAATGACAGACAGCCTCTCTCCTGATCCAGTCCACAGCCAGAATGCTCAACTCAACCCTATCTCTCCCCTTGTTAGCTCCCTCAACCCAAAGTATTCAGTTCTTTCTACCATCACATTCTTGTCAGTGGCACCAGCTACTCTCCCGCTCCCATGCCTGTTTCCTAAGTGCTTAGATCTTTGCCACCCTGTGAAGATGGTGAACTTTGATCTTTTCTGCCTGCACTTTCCTGCCCTTTCATCTCTCGGCTTAGCCTCTATTCCTATTATTTGAGGTCTAGCTTGATACACCCATCTTGGTGCACTCTTCGTTATCCCTCGAATGGTTTGGAGAGTCCTTCTTTAGGTTCCTGGAGCCCTGGCCCTGGGCCTGGATTTTTCATGCCAGGCTGCAGTCAGTTCCATGACTGTTCACTATCAGGAGTTTCTGAAAGTAAGAGAAGGGTGCTGAGGCAGTTGTTACCTGCTGACATTGCCATGGTGGTACCTGCCACCATGCCCATGGCCACACCATTGGTCCTGGGGGCAGCAACAGGAGCTGGGTAGATGGCAGAGGGAATGCTGTTGGGCTGGACAACCGTGGTGTGGTGGATGACATGGGGCTGGGCGGCATACACCGGCTGTGTATAGTAGGCTCCCTGGGGAGAGAGGCTAAAGTCACATGGGTTCTTGGAGAGAGGGTAGGAAGGATGTGTAGGCAGGGTATTGTTTTTCCCATACCCTAGGCAATACAGTGGGAAAATCACAGGCCCAGGGACACAAGGTCTAGGCTGAGGCTCTGCTTTGTCTTACTCTGTGACTGTGGTCAGTTCAGTACTGATTCAGCATCCTCTGAAAAGCAAGGCCCTCTTTGTTCCATCTTGCCTCACTCCTAGTATGGCTATGAAGAACTAGTAAGAACTTTCCTGTTTTAGCTCTGGTTGTGCCTTTTTTTTTTTTTTTTTTGGTCTTTTTGAGACAGAGTCTCCCTGTAGCCCCAGCTGGCCTGAACTCACTATGTAGATCAGGCTGGCCTTGAACTCACAGAGATCCACCTGCCTCTGCGTCCCGAGTGCTGGGATTAAAGGATTGAGCCACCAAGCCCGGCCTGGCTGTAGCATTTTAAAATGTTTTTACTTGATTACAACTTACTTTCATAAGCTGCCTAAAAATTAAATGTAAGGAATATGGTCAAACAGTTTCTAAGCATAGGGATTCCAGAGCACTGTGTACACAAGCAGAGGATTGTTAATGGTATTCTCACACTGGTGCAAATGCTGTTAGTTTATAGTTTATACTCAGAATGTGTCATCATTGGATAGCATTTCCCAAAGCATCTTCCTAGTTCCCCTCACCAAAGGTGAGAATGCAGACTGTGGTCTGAAGTGATGTCCCACTACCAGATCACATGGCTGCTTCCTGGTCCTACCTACCTTCCATGGGCCTGATGAACCCTAGGAGCAGATAGAAGCACCTGAGACGACCTTGTGCTTGATAGCTTTAGTTGTTAACGTGACATACCTGGGTAGAGGGAGCCTCAATTGGTGAACTGCCTCCATTAGACTGCCCTGTGGCCATGTCTGTGGGGCATCTTCTTGGTTACTGAGTGGGCCCAGCTGGGCCTATGTTGTATAAGAAGGCAGGTTGAGCAGGGCCCAGGGGAACAAGTCAGTAAGCAGCATTCCTCCATGGCCTGTGCTTCAACTCCTGCCTTCAGGTTCCTGTCCTGAATCCCTATGTTGGGCTCCCTGATGAACTGTGACCTGAGAGATGTAAGCCAAATAAACCCCTTTCCTTCCCAGTTGGTACTGGTCAGAGTATTCTGTCACTGTAATGGAGAAACAAACTAGAACAGACCTTAATCCAGAAATTCTCATATCTTAATACTAAATAGTAAGAGCCTCTGTGTAACCCTAGCTGTCTAAGAGTCTAAGAAAAGTATCTTAAGCCTTATTTTTTCTCTTTATTTTACTTTATTTTTCCAGATAGGCTGGCCTTGAACTCACTATGTAGCTGAGGATGACCTTGCACTTCTGAACCTCCTGTCCCAAGTATTGGAGTTACAGGTGTCCACTGCCACGCCCAGTTTTGTTTCTTTCCTTTTTTAAAAGTTTTGCAGTCTATCTGCAACACAGCTAGTGTTTTTTTTTGTTTTGTTTTGTTTTGTTTTTTTTTGAGACAGGGTCTCCCTGTAGCCCCAGCTGGCCTAGAACTCATTAGGTAGACCAGGCTTGGCCTGGAACTCAGAGATTCACCTGCCTCTGATGGGGTTAAAGGTGTGGGCCACCACACCCAGCTACACAGCTAGTTTTTAAACTATAACGTGCTTTCCTCACTACTTATGTCTCATGGAGAATTACCACCCCAGAAGAATGTGCTCTGCTGGAGCCTCACATGGCCTGTCCAAAGTTAGCCAACACACATTCTATAGCCAAAGTCCAAATGGGAGCAGTAAGGTTCACTCAAGAATAACTTCCCTAAGGCCACAGGGGGCACTGGTAGCAGAGGCTGGGTGTTTTCCTCCTTACTTGGTTCACAGATTTTGTCAAGGAAGGGAAGATGTGGGGGTAAAAAGGGAAGACCAAGACATGTGGCATACAGCCTGACTCAGCCAACAGCTCCATGTGTGGCCCTGGACAAGCCATTCCACTCTGCATCTACACTTCCCCACTTGTTTATTCGTTTTTGGCTTTTTTTTTTTTTTTTTTTTTTTTTGAGAAAGAGGGTCTCCCTGTAGCCCAGCTGGCCTGGAACTCACTATGTAGACCAGGCTGGCCTTGAACTCACAGAGATCCACTTGCCTCTGCCTCCCAAGTGCTGGGACTAAAGGCATGTGCCATCACTCCCAGCTAAAATGTGTAGCCTAGGCTGGTCTCGAACTCCAGATCCTCCTACCTTTGCCTCTTTAGCATATCCTACCAGCGCATGCCACCACAACCGGCTCCCTGCTTGTTCAACAAAGGAGTTCAGCTAGATGATTTCTAATGACCCTCTGTCATTTGGGACTCTGTTAACCTAAATGACTTCATGCTTCCTCTTTGGGAGTGAGGCAGAGTTGAGTGATCTTGCAGGCATATTGCTTCAATGACACCAGTGAACACCATGAATTCTTTTTTTCTCTTCCTCATCCCAGCCCACCCTGCCATAGCGGATGCTCCAGGAAGAGGTCAGCCCAGGCCTCCATGTATACCTACCTGGGCATAAAGATTCTGCTGGGGGTAGGCACTTCTGATCGGATACATAGCCGTCTGATAGGGGTTGGGTGATGGGGAGTAGGGGGGTGGAGCAGTATTACTCTGGGTTGGTGGGACCTTGTATGGTGTCCCTGCAGTATATCCTGTACCAAGGCAAGAAGAGAGACCTCCAGTTAGTTGGCAAAACAGCACTGCTTGAAGGAAGCAGGTCCCAGAACAATTCCTCAAAACAAAAATGAACTGAATCCAGCTCGAAACACACAGGACAGACAAGAGAACAAGGCTTCACCCTCACAGACCTGGCCCCAGAGGCAGCTCCTTCAGCCCTGGTGCACAGAACTGCAAACAGGGTTTGGGCATCATTTATTTCTCTAGGTCTCAGGACTCTGATTCATAAGAGGCCAGATATCTGTTCTCTAAGGGACCCTTTCAGCTTACTGCTTGGATTTTGTGTGTGTGTGTGAAAGGCAGGTACTCACTGATGGATGCCACCCAGTCTACTCCTTAATGAAATCTGTTCTCTTACTTTTCTGGCTCTTCACTCAGCATCTCGAGCTGTCTTCTATTGTTGGTTCTCTTTCTCTGCCTTGCTGTCCTCTTTTTCCCCTACTTCCTTTGCTGTTGCTCTATAGAGCGGGCATTTTCCGTCTCTTCTGCTGCATGGGGGAGGGTCACCTCTGCCCCAAAGGCCTAAAGTCAGGGATCAGAAAAGACAGCTCGAGATGCTGGGAAATCCGAAGCCGTCTTCTGACCTCTGTGGCATTACATGACACAGGTACACTCACATACATGCAGGCAATACACTCATACACAGAATAAGAATAATTTTTAAAAATTTATTTTTATTTTATGTGTGTAAGTACTGGAGTTATAGATGGCTGTTGGCCCCATGTGGGTGCTGGGAACTGAACCTGGGTCCTTTTAACCACTGAGCCATCACTCTATCTCTCCAGTCGCCCCCCTACCTTTGTTTTTGTTTTTGTTTGGGGACATGGTCTCATTATGTAACACACATTAGGTCTTGAGTGTTTCACTTTTTCTCCTCTAATTTTTCTCCCTTTATGAACGTCATCAACCACAGTTCCCTCCTCCTCACAAATCAGCAGGGAAAAAGCCCATATAAAAGAGCAGTCAGAAGCCAGGCATGGTGGCGCATGCCTTTAATCCCAGCACTTGGGAGTCAGAGGCATGGGGATCTTTCTGAGTTCCAGGCCAGTCTGGTCTACATAGTGAGTTCCAGGCCAGCTGGGGCTACAGGGAGACCCTATCTCAAAAAGACCAAAAAACAAAACAAAAAACCCAGCATTCAGAGATCCTGATCTTCTGGGTTGTTTAAAAACCTTGCTCTGTGGTACATGCCTGTAATCCCAGCACTCAGGAGGCAGGGGCAGGCGGATCTCTGAGTCCAAAGTCAGCTTGGTCCACATAGCGAGTTCTAGACCAGCTGGGGCTACAGGGAGACCTTGTCTCAAAAAGACCAAAAAATAAATAAATAAAATGAAATTTAAAAAATAAACTGGGGGCTGGAGAGATGGCTCAGCGGTTAAGAACACTGGTTGTTCTTGTAGAAGACCTGGGTTCCTGGGTTCGAATCCCAGCACCCACATGGCAGCTAACAACTGTCTGTAACTCCAGTCCCAGGGGATCCAATAGCCTCTTCTGACCTCCGAGGCCACTGCACAACACGGGTGTGTTTACCTACATGCAGGCAATACATGCATACACATAAAATAAAATAAATAAAATAAAAATAAATAGATAAACTTTGCTCTATAGAGCGGGCATTTTCTGTCTCTTCTGCTGCATGGGGGAGGGTCACCTCTGCCCCAAAGGCCTAAAGTCAGGGATCAGAAAAGATTCACACTGACACAGAATCCAGGTCATGTCTGCACCTCAGGAGGATGGACAAAAGCTGGTGCTGAGCAGTCAGGCCTAGAGACTCACAGCTATGCAAACTGTGCTGCCTTTGAGTCATCTTGAGGAGCAGATCTCCTGTTCATAGGAAAAATTTGACACACAGGTCACTCAGGAGAAAGGTGTTCCTATACAATCACCAAATGGCATCGTCCAATGCCACCACCAGTGGCACAAGGGGATCCAGAGGTCAAGTGGGGCAAGTCTTTTTAGGAACTTCTAATACTAACCAAGGATCCTGTCAACTCTAAGGAGCTATTTTTTTCAAAAAGGGTCTGGATGGAGGACAGGGTAGAACAGGCTTTTGCTGGAAGAGATCTGGGCTTTGGTCTGGCTTTCCTCTGAATTGGGTAACCAATGCCAAATCTTTAGTCCTTAGTTTTAGGAAGGTTAGGGAGAAGTCTTTAAAATGATAGTGTAAATTTCTAAGACAAGAAGACTTTATTTCCCAAATTTATTTTATCAGAGAGAGAGAGAGACAGAGAGACAGAGAGAGAGAGACAGAAAGATACACAGAAACAGAAAGAGAAACAGAAAGAGACAGAGAGACAGAGACTGGGGAATGAAGCTAGGGCTTTCCACATGCTAGGCAAGTACTCTACCATTGGGCTATATCTCTAGCTATCTTTTTAGTTTAATCTTATTTTGAGATAAAGTCTCATTAGATTGCTCAGGCTGGCCTTGAACTCACTTAGTAGCCCAGGCTGGCCTTGAACTTTCAATCTTCCTTCTTCAGCCTCTCCAGTACCTAAGATTACAGGCTCATACAGGTCTGACAACGTATTTTTACTACAGTGGTAGTCACCGAGACTATATGGCCCCTAAACCTAAAATGATCTATTAGGATATTTATAGAGAGGTTTACTGAACCCTGAGTTAAAGGTAAAAAAAAAAAAAACAAAAACAAGATGTAAGGGTACTTAGGATGTAGTTAGTGGTAGAACACAAAGTTATAGGTCTGATCTCTAGCACTTCAAATAAAAAGCACACAAAAAACTACCAAAAACAAAAGCCAAAATAAAGATGTGAAGAATCTTGTCATAATGGAGAGTGTCTCTCTTTTATGCAGGAGAGTAGGATACCATGAGTCAGAAGCAACCTGTCTCCAAAAGCACTACAGCCAGAGCAGTGGTTACAAGCAGCCTGGGGATGGACTGAGTGGATCCATGTAGATTAGTATTATTTTCTCTCTCACTGTATAGATAGTAAGCTTCCTGTCCTGGGGAATGCAAGCACAGACTGCTCTTAAAGGAGATAGGAGTTAAACTGTGACTACGATGGTCTGTTCCACATAGGAACACAGACTCCAAAGACTCTAAGATTCTAAAAAATTTTTTAACAAGCCAGCAACACAGGCAACTTTCCTTTATGTGTCTGGAGAATGTGCTATGGAATTTCTAGCTTTCCCAGGGAAGCTGCACCACCCCCTCTAAGCCACAAAAGCAACCACATTACAAAGTATTAGAATTGTCCCTCTGAGGAGAATCAAAAGGTTCTAAAAGACTGCAGTAGAATTTGGTTTCCATATCTAAGAATAACCTTGTTTGAGAATGTTTCCCTTTCTTCATGTTATGAAACAAGACACACACTCAGAATACAAATCAGCAATCCAAACACCCTTGGCAGCCAAAGAGAGGCTGGCTGCAGTCTGCTTCGCTTCTCTAGACAGTTTGGGATGGGAGAAGCAGACCCACAGAGCTGGAAGAGATCTTGGAGATCTCTAAGACAGGGACTTCACAAATGAGAGATGCTATGCAGAGAGTGGCTGCTCACAGAAGCACTTCCTATAACCACAATGGGCCTCAAGGTCACGATCAGTGTCAGGAGAGTTCTGAAGCTGCAGAACTAGCAGGCTAGGGCCTTTTGCCTGGGATCCTTTAAAGAGTCAGTTTCCTGTCTTGGGGAGCATTTTCACTTGGACTAGATCATTTCAGAGGGCATTTCTGGTGCTGACATTCTAAGTATTTCAGTAGGACTTTTGTGAGGACATCATTACAGAGGGCTTTCCACAACTGACCAGCTGCCCTGTCCACATTCTTGGGGGAAACTGAAAATCTAGGGCCTTGCTTGATGATTATTAAAGTTAGGGGTTATCACTTTGTACATCTAAGTAAAAGAGGCTGTGGGGCTTACTATAAAAACATCTCATGGATTTTTACCCAAATAGACTCAACTCATTCCCTGGAAGCCTGGTAACTTGAAAGAAATTCTAAATCTGAAGGTCACATAATTAGGACTTTAGAATGTTACACCTTAAAGACATGAGGCTTGCATTCAACCCTCTCACTTTCAGAGGAAGAACCGTAACTCAAGTACAGCAGTTTCCCAAAATTGCACAGCATATCAACCAGAGCTGGCTCCAGAGTTCAGGGCTTATGATGCTCTGGGCAGAGCTTGTTTCTGGGTTAAAGATCTCTTCAGTACAATCTTGGGCATTTGGTGTGCTGGTCTTTGTATGCCCACTTCACTAAAGGCAGTATCATGAGAAGAAAGGAATTCAATCATTAGAAGTGTCAGCTCTGCCTTATAAAGAGGCTTTGTTTATGATGCCTGCCTGCTGTTTGTCTCAGGTTTCCAGCCATAGTTTTAGGCTCTATCAAATGGACACTGTGTACATTAGCAAGCTAAAACCTTTGTAGCCTTCTCTTCAATTTTCCCTGTCGTAAATCTTTTTCAGTTGTAGTACCCCTACCACCTTTAAAGTCATTGATCTTCACATCAAGAATACCTTTTAGACTAACTGGCTTATTGATCATCAGATTTATGTCTGGACGAAACAAAGCAGCATGTCTGAATCTTGCCTTGACCTCTAAGTCTCCTTGTTGCTAGTTAAACAAGAAGGCTGAATAAGTAGAAGAGAAACCTAACTAGGAACAGGCTTAGCAAATGTTGTTTAAGTTGAACTGAATTTGTCAAAATGCCATCTATGTTATGGCACTAGAAGCAATAAAATCTGAATGTGGAAAGGAACCTTTTACAAGGTTGCATGGCTCAGTTAGTCCCAACTCTGCTGAAAAATCACATAGGTTTATACATTACTTGCTTAAAAGAGAGGGATACGGGGGCTGGAGAGATGGCTTAGTGGCTAAGAACACCAGATGTTCTTGCAGAAGATCCAGGTTCGAATCCCAGCACCCACATGGCAGCTAATAACTGTAACTCCAGTTCCAGGGGATCCAACAGCCTCTTCTGTCCTCCGAAGGCACTGCACGACATGGGTGCACTTGCCTACATGCAGACAATACACACATACACATAAAAATAATAATAAAATATTTTAAAAAAGACTACCGACAATATCAACATTTATGTTTTTTAAAAAAGAGAGGGATACACCAGGCGTGGTGGTGCACGCCTCTTAATCCCAGCACTCGGGAGGCAGAGGCAGGTGGATCTCTGTAAGTTTGAAGCCAGCCTGGTCTACATAGTAAGTTCCAGGTCAGCTGAGGCTAAGGGAGACCCTGCCTCAAAAAGGCTTAAAAACAAAAAGAGGGGGATACAATGTGGTCCTATTCTGGGACTTGACAGCCTGTCTTAGAGGGAAGAGTCAGATGCAGCTACTAGACATTTCCATGGGACTTTTGGAAGACTTCAGCACAGGTCAGGATTTCTGATACTCAAGACTCCTTAGTTGTATAAAGGGCTGCCTCTGGAACAAATCACGACTCTATTCCTAGAGATGTGTGAGCATGGTTTGATGACCAGCCTACTGGTGATGGCAACTAGAGAGAAGGGCCTTGTGGGAAGGATATGGGTACACAGCTCCAAGGGCAGAGAAACAGGAATCTAAAACTTAGTGAGGACTTTAAAGTGACCTAGTCCAAGGCCCCATTTTACAGTGCAAAAAACCAAGGACCAAAGCACAGCCATGAATTATCCAAGGTTACATAGAGTTAGGTCTAGAGTTCTCTACATTCCATGCCAGTGTTGTAAGTGTGCCTTTATGTGTCTATATCCATATGTGTGGATGTACAAGAAAACATATATGTACCAATTTACAATTACAGCTTTTTGGGGGGTTCTTTTTGAGACAGGGTCTCCCAGTATCCCCCACTGGCCTGGAACTCACTGTGTAGACCAGGCTGACCTCATGCCTTTGCCTCCTGTGGGAAACCACGCCCAGCCTTACAATTATAGCCTTTTTTTTTTTTTTGGAGACAGGGTCTGTAGCCCCAGCTGTCCTGGAACTCACTATGTAGACCAGGCTGGCCTTGAGCTCACAGAGATCCACCTGCCTCTGCCTCCCGAGTGCTGGGACTACAGGTGTGCGTCACCACGCCTGGCACAATTATAGCTTTTAATATGTTCTTTCAATTCTACTTGTAGTGTCTGGAAAAACTCCCTATGACTGTCATTTTTCCCATTACGCTTTTTGAGACAATCTCCCTATGCAACTCAGGTTGGCCTGAAACTTGTGATCCTCTTGCTTCGGCCTCCTGAAAAGTGGGATTACAGATATGAAGTATGTCTGGCTCATTAGTCTTATTTATTTATTTATTTATTTATTTATTTATTTATTTATTTATATTTCATGTGTATGATTGTTTTGCCTGCATGTATATTAGTGTACCACATGCATACAATGCCTCAGAGGCCATAAGAGGGCGTTAGATTCTCCTAGAGCTGGTTATGGATGGTTGTGAGCCATCCATGTGGATGCTAGAAACGGAACCGGTCTTCTCCAAGAGCAGTCAGTGCTCTGAACCATTGAGTCATCTCTCCAGCCCCTCACTTGTCTTTTGAAGAGTAAAATCAACCTCACAAGAAAAGTCAGGTATAAAATCCTAACTTGGGAGTTATCTTTTTCCAGCTGTACAAATATACTGGTTAAACAGTGTTGGGTATGTTACCCTTCTGAGGTTCAGCTTTCTTTTTTTTGACACAGGGTCTCCCTGTAGTCCTAGCTGGCCTGGAACTCACTATGTAGACCAGGGTGGCCTGGAACTCACAGAGATCCACCAGCCTCTGCCTCCCAAGTGCTGGGATTAAAGGGGTGTACCACCACATTCAGCTGAGGTTCAGCTTTCAAAGTGGGATAAAAGTCTATCCAAATAACTTTATAAGACTATACTGTTGATTAAATGAGAGGACAGGTTTTTTTTTGTTGTTGTTGTTGTTGTTGATTTTGGTCTTTTTGAGACAGGGTCTCCCTGTAGTCCTAGCTGGCTCACTATGTAGACCAGGCTGGCCTTGAACTCACAGAGATCCACCTGCCTCTGCCTCCTGAGTGCTGGGATTAAAGGTGTGTGCCATCACACCCGGCTAGCACTTTTTTTTTTTTTTAATTTCAGATTTGTTTGCTTAAGTTGATTTGCTCCCCTTTTAATATTTGCTGTGTCAGCTAGGGGATTTTTTTATTTTTATTTAATTAATATATTTTATTTTCTGTGTATGAGAAACAGGAATCTAACATGTATTGCCTGCATGCAAGTGTACCCCTATCGTGCAATGCCCTTGGAAGTCAAAAGGTGTCAGATCCCCTGGAACTGGAGTTATGGATGGTTGTTAACTGCCATGTGGGTATTGGGAATCAAACCTGGGTTTTGTGCAAGAATAGCCAGTGCTCTTAACTGCTGAGCCATCTCTCCAGCCCAGGACTTTTTATTTTTCAAGATTTATTTATATTTATGTGTATGAGTATTTCCTCATGTGTATGTATATAAACTGCATGCATGCCTGGTGCCTGTGGAGGCCAGAGCAAGTGTAAGATTCCCTGGAATGGGAATTACAAACAGCTGTGAGCTGCTATGTTGGTGCTGGGAACAGAATCCAGGTCCTCTCCAAGAGAAGTATTCTTGACTGCTGAGTTACCTCTCCAGCCCCAACACTGGGTATTATAAACAAAAGAAAAAAATTTCAATGAACTCCTCCAGTCTACTTGGTAGACTATTAATTTTCTATAATACCCTACTAAGGGCTTGTCTAGCTCCCACTGGCACAACTTCTGAAATCAATGCTCCCCACATCCAAAGTCAACCATTTCTGAACTGGACAGTTCCCAGAGGCACAAAGTTCTTTCATTCAATAGTTTCTCATTCGAACCATTTGTGTTTAGAATCAGCTGTGAAGGTTATGGCATCAGTTACCCCACTGAGCCTCAGGATGAACATGACCAATCTGACTGGCTGTTGGCTCCTGTCCATGTCACACCTTGCTCCCACAGTGTAATGTATACTAACTTGGGCAATATTTCTCATGCAGGGGACAGTTTTATTCTCCAAGGGAATATTGAGCCATATTTGGAGACATTTTTGGTTGTCACAATGGTACTTTGCGACTGGCACTGAGTAGGCAGAGGCCAGAAATGCTGCTAAATATCCTACCATGCACAGGAAAGTCTCCCACAACAAAGAATTTACCTGGCTCAGATGTCAACAGCGCTAAGGTTAAGAATCCCTGTGTGGCTGGGCATGGTGGCACAAGCCTTTAATCCTAGCACTCAGGAGGCAGACGCAGGCAGATCTCTCTGAGTTCAAGGCCAGCCTGGTCTTCATTGTGAATCCAGGACAGCTGGAGCTACAGGGAGACCCTGTCTGAAAAAGACCCCCACCTAAAAAAAAAATCCCTGTGTATAGGAAGCTCCCCACTCTGTTCAAAGACACACAGGCCTTCAAAATGTGCCCTCTGTCCTTTCCCTAAAAGCAATAGTAGTCTTTCACAAATCAAACTTCTTGGCTAGGTGAGTACTTCTCCCTCCCTCACTGCTGTGGGTGTCCTAAAGCTGGAGTATGACCAAAGATGAGTACTGTTCTTGATTGAAGAAAGCCAATTCTTTGCATGGGTAGGAGAACCTCTTAAAACAGTATTTATATTAAAAATGTCACTTAAAAATTCCCTTTCCTTTCTTCAAGAAATAAGTCAGTTCTTGAGCCGGGCATGGTAGTGCATGCCTGTAGTCCCAGCACTTGACTTGGGAGGCAGAGGCAGGCGGATCTCTGTGAGTTCAAGGACAGCCTGGTCTACATAGTGAGTTCCAGGACAGCTGGGGCTACAGGGAGACCCTGCTTTGAAAAAGCCAAAAAAAAAAGTCAGTTCCAACCAAGGGGAACAAGGAAAGGAGGAGACAGGCTGTATTTACTGAAAGCCGCAGAGGATGCTTGGTAAGTTCGGTTCTCAGTCCCGGTGTCCACTGGAAGATGGAAGGTGCCTTCAGTGCCACAGGAAGACGAATTCTGTGGCCAGGCCTGTTTCATCAGCAGAGTGGCTTAAGGGAAGACACAAGAAGGACATTAGGCAGAAATAAGAAGTGGGCACCATCAATTACAGACACAAAAGCAAGGGCTGTGTGCTAGACAGAAACATATAACCCAAGGAACCTGTTCAGACACAGAGAATGATTCAGTCTTTCTGAGATGGGGTAGTGGACTGGAAGGAGTGCTGAAGTGAGCTTCCAAATAACTTAAATCCAAGGGCACCTACACTTAATTACTGAGAGTCGGGACTTTCTATCCATGACTAAAACCACAATGATGCCCACGAATATCACCACCTTCCACCCAACCTGGCCCAAGATCCTAGGAATTTTTATATATTGGGCCAGATCAAATGAGTCTTTTTACCACCTTATATGAGCCTTGATGGAATAGCATCTTTTCTAACAGGTGAGATGTGGCCATGGCAGCTTAAAATCCTGGGCACTGTGGCTGCACTACATAGTAGGACACTGCTTGCCAACAGCTCCTGCATGCCAAGCAGGGCCAGATAGATGTATTTCTTACAAATGGTGATTACCTCCTGCCTAAGTGCTCTACTCGAGATATCTCATGAATTAGAAATGATCCTTTGGCCATTACTAAAGTAAATTTCAAAAACTGGGGTAGGTGTGAAAGAGAGATCAGTTGAAAAACTGTAGGGATTTCCCAGGCTAGCTCAATGCTCAATTTGAGAAATCTAAAAGGTGATTACTTCACAGGTTCCAGAAGTGGGGAATGACTCAAAAAAACTTACCGTATCCTGAGAAGGAAAGAGGAAATAGGGGGAAAATGCCTTTTTTACTATACTTTTAAACACCAGAGGAGACACATTCTTGATCCAAATTTCTACTTATAAGATG